ACACACACACACACACAATACTCGAACCAAAGTTCTCGCAAAATACATCATAGAGGCACGTGCTTCTTTGTCCTGAGATATGCAACAAGGCAACGACAACAACACGTATCCCTAACTCATCAAGCAGAGCACCCTGTCCATGTGCATCCTCGTTCTCATATTGCCCTGCACAAGAAGCAGATTACAAAACATGACTTTATTTTTAAACAAGTAAATCCACCTTGAGAGCAGAATTCTATCCTATAGTTTTGCAATACAGAGTCAACATTCCAAGAAAGGTGAACATTGATCCTTCAATAGCGTGTATTGATTAGCTTCTACTCTTCTTCAGAGCAGATCATTTTTTGAGTTGTGCACAAAAGGGAGGCATGTCCAAAATTTTAGTTCTAATCATGACTGTCCCACCACTCATAATGTAAAAGTAAACCATGTGAGAGTGTCTGAATAAAGAAGAAATAAGAGGATGCAAAACAGGAAAAACTTACAAAGCCTGAAACTCCCCAGTGAAACAGCGTACCAAGCCCTCGACCCTGTACACCTGGGTAGAAACCTTTTCTGCAAAAACTCGCCTCCCCATCACATTAAGAGTGAATCTGGTGCAGTGGACTTTGGAGCCACGACCTACCCATAAAAGGCAGAAACGGTCTTCTCCCAAGTGAAGGAACAATGAAGGAATATTAAACATGTACGTATCAGGATTATGAAGGCGAGGAAGTGCATTATCATACTCTTCAAATCCCTTCACACAGCGGCACCATTTGCCCTTCTCAATGTCGAAACATGCCACTTCGGTATGGTTATCTTCGGAAGGGCTATATCTTGCACACAAGAGGTACATTAACCCATTATGGCAAACACCACTCTTGGACAAACCAAAATCATCAAACTCATGGTAATGCACATCAATCTCATTTCTCTTGAAATCGTAGAAGATCGTGCGATCAGATGTAACGATGATGGCACGCCGAGCACACCGCATGGGTTGACTAGTAGTAGAATCAGTTACAGCTTCATATTCAATTGTGTGTGCAAACACACATGAGCTCGTAGGGGATTTATCATTATCATCCAATTCTAGCAGGCACGTCCATCCCTTCTCCAACTTATGGGAGTCAAGATAGTGCAAAGTAAATAAATTATCCCAATACATTCCCAGTACATAAATCTTGCCATCCACAGCGAAGATATAGCACGTATTAGGTGCTTTCTCTAGAGTAGGGCCATCTTCCCATTTTTTCTCTTCGCTTTGAGTATTTAAATAATGGACACGCCTGATCGGTACATCACAACAATTATCTTCCACACCACTTATGAGGAAAATATGAGATCCCACCCCAACAGGTTCATATGCTATCCCACGCTTTCCCCAGGGTGGCTCGTGAAAGGCCGGGGAGAGAGGGGCATTTGTGTCCACATTTACCCCTCGCGGTGGAATAGCAAACCATTTACATGCTTTGGTAAGTGGATCTGTTCCAGTACTATTCCAGACACACAGACGAAAGTAGATTGTGGGTTGTTCTCCAGTTTCAGCTTCTTCCATTTCACAATTCCGTTCTTCTGTTACTCCATTGTTCAACCCTAACATTAAGAACCACAATTCTTATTAAGGTGGTCTCATGAGGGCATA